CTCGGGGAAACACACATCAAGACGACAGGGAGAAAGCATCTGATACTCAGCCTCCAGGCCAAAATGAAGGCTCCTGAACAACCCCAAGTGCCGGAAGGGCCGCGGGTCACTGCCACCGGCTGGGGGCGTGGCACGTGGCCCAGTCACTGAAGAAACCAGGTCCGTCCTCGTGCCCTGAGACCAACAACTCCATTTCCCAAGATGTGCCCAAGAGCAGCACACACGTGGCGCCCAGAGATGCACACAGGGAGGCCTGTGGTGGCACCGTCAGTGATGGCCCAGACGCCCACAACCGAGGCGTGGTGCACAGATGTGTCTGTTCACCACAGCTGAAAGCAACCGACAGCCGCTACGGGGAACCACACAGATGAGCTCTGTTAATAGTAAGGGGGAGAAAGTAAATTCTGAAAGACTGCAGGTAGCGTGATGCCTTCCCCTTATAAAATTAAATGCAACTCAAACTAAATCATGTACTTCTAGGGGACATGTCAACAGGACGAATTAGACATAAACAAGCAAGGATGGGAAAGGTAAGGCTCAGGAGAGAGAGTGTGGCTTCGGAGGGAGAGAAGGCATGAGGGACGCTCACAGGGGTGGGTTCAAACCACCCGTCCCTGATCCAGCTGTGTGCTGGTGGTGGACTTGAGCAGACTGCATTTGGAGGTATGATCTTTAAAGAGGTGATCAGGGGAAATGAGGCCAGTAGGGCGAGCCCTCTTCCAACCTGACTGGCATCCTTAGGAGATTAGGAAACGATGTCAGGGCACGTGCACGGAAGGAAGACTGAGTGAGGACCTAACAGGGAGGCAGCCGTCTATAAGCCAAGCAGAGGGGCCTAAGAAGAAACCAACCCTGCGGCACCTTGATCTTGGACCTCTAGCTTCCAGGACTGCGTGTGAGCTGCCCAGCCTGTGGCCCCCTGCTCCGGCCACCACGCTGGCTGGGAGCCCTGTGGGCAGCCCTGCTCCCCAGGAGACAGTTTGGGGCAGCCCCCAGGCCTCGCCAACAGAAGCTCTGCTGCCTGTGGCCCCCGTGACGGTTTGGGAGGGACAGGCGTCTAGCGCTGCTTGTGGGTGCAGTCAGAGTGAGCCGCGGGGCTTCGCGGCTGCTGCCCCTGGAAGGTACGGCTCGTTCCTGCAGGCCTGGGGCCTGGCGCCGCGAGGAGGCCCACACCCGCTCTGAGGGCCGGCGCGGCCCTGACTTCCGTCACTGAGGCGCACACAGTCCCCCTCCCGCCTTGGGTGGCGCATGCTGGGTTTCGGCTTCTGTTGTCCACGGGGACCAGGCCTGGTCCTGCCACGGCCCTCTCCTCTGGTCCCAGCAGTAAAATCCAGAACACTCACCGGGGGTGGGGCAGAGCCAGGACCGCAGTGGGGGCTGAGGACGTGGAGGAAGGTGGGCCTTTGGGTCTCCTGACAGGATGCAGAGCCTACGCTGCCCACCCCGAGGTCCATTTTCTCCTTCCTCCTCAGTCTCAGAGCCTTGTCTCGCAGCTGTACGAACAAAAGACTACGTTTCCCAGCTTCCCTTGCAGCTAGGTGTGGTCATGTGACTGGGTCCTGGCCAATGGGGTCTGAGCGGGAGAGTGGGTGGAACTTCTGGGATGTCTCTTCAAAGGCAGGTGATGTGCCCTGCTGCCCAGAGGGTGGACTTGATGGCCAGACCTCCCGAAGTCAATGACTACACTCCTCCTGACCCCTCACCCCTACAAGGCAGCCCCTGTTGGCTGGTCATTCGCAGAAAAAGGCAACCCCCAGGGGCAGAGCCCTGAGGAAGAGCCCAGAAAACAAAACTCTGAGGCTTGCTTCCTGGTGACCTGGGGCAGCACGCCCATTTACACAGGAGGAAACCAGGGCTCGGGGGCAGTGACGGCTCGGACACACAGGGGTCTCGTCTTGACCCACTCTTCCTCCGCTCCCACTGCCACCACCTGTGAAGCCCAGGCCAGGGGAACTCCTTTCTAACTGGCCTCCACATCGTCAGTGTCTCTCGATCCTGGCAGCTCATGGCCAAAGCCACAGCCACCGTCACCTCCTGCCAGGAGACTGGACCAGCTTTCTGACTCCCTCCCTTACCCTCTCATTCCGCTGCACTCCATTCACCAGAGGAAAATCCAAACCCCTGACTCGGCCAGACAGATGTCACACTGTCCACCTCCTGACTGCTTCTCTGACCTCTGAGCCTTCCTCTCCCCCCCCCCCCACTGCACTCCAGCCACACTGCCCTCCCCACTGTTCCCCAAACTACCAAAACGCATTCCTGCCTCAGGGCCTTTGCACTTGCTGTCCCCTTTGTCTTCCCCTAGACATGCTTGTGGTTTACCTCCTAGAGGCCTTCCCTGACCACACAGGTTGAAAGAGCAGCTTCCAGCCACAGTGGGCACTCAAATTTTTTGTGAATCAATGATTAACAATGAATGAGTGAATGAATTTTGTACCCACTCCAATGACTCGTCCAGAACTCCTATTAGATTGAATCATACAATGTTGCCATTTTACGGGGCCTAATACTGTTGAATAGTGGCGATTTCATGTGGTGCGACCTTACCTTGGCAGTCATGCCCATTTTCAAAATTCCCCAACCGTCCCTCCACCTAGAAATTGAAACTGCTCAGACTGACCCCACACACCGCCTGGCTCCAGCTCCCACTCCCTTCCAGGCCCCTCAGGCTTATTGCCTTAGCATCGCAATCCAAGAGGTTTTCTTGGCTTCTGTTTGCTTAAATTCCCTGAGGCAACCTCTCCTACCCAGGTCCACCTCTGGAAGAATGCTCCTTGCCCCAGGCCCCTGCTGCTCCTCAGTGTACACTGGTGGTGCATATCAGTGGTATTCCCCGCCTCTGCCTGCTGTGGGTCCCTCGACTGGACAACTCTGGGCAGCAGAGGCTCCCTCGTCCTGGGGCTCCCTGCGCCGAGCCCTCCTGTCGACCCCTGCAGGCACTATTACAACTGGCTGGCTATTCCAAGACTGGGAGCGGTGCTGGGATCAGCCCAGTCCTAGGAGACACGGCCCCTCACTTCTGTTGACCTTGGGCAGGCCGACCTGAGCCTCAGCTTCCTCATCTGTAACATCTCACATGTCAGCAAAGACACAGTCTAAAATAATGCCAGAATATGACACTGAATATGACTGGCCCCTGCGTGTTTGAATATGAGATAATGACAGGGTTGTGGACAGAAGGCAGAAAAGCCACAGGGATGATGAGGGAGAGCTCACAAGATGGCATTTCAGGGACTGGAGTCCCAGTGTTGATGTCCCCTCCTGGCATGGGCTGGGGTGGCCCCAGCCTCTCTCTGGGACTCAGTTCTCCAGCTGAAAGGTGAGTCCTGCCCAAGGTTGAGAAGAGGGAGGCAGGAAGGTGGTACAGACAAAATCCTACATCACAAAGAAAGGACGTGCATGCAGAGCGGAGGCTGCTGTCTCCTGCCACCCTCACCCTGCACCTGGGATCCCAGGCCGCTCGGGTGTGAGTAGCAAGGTGCCTACAGAAGATGGTGACGAACAAGCCTGGCAGCAGGACCAGCATGCTGCTGCTCTTCCTTCCGAGAAGAAGGGGAAGAAAACATTCCCGGGGAAGGGGCAGGGGAGCCCTGACCCCCACGAGCTGGCATTCCCAGCTGGCTGGGGACAGATGCAGACGGTGCCTGATGCTTGGCTGGTGGGATGGAGCTTAGTGGTGAGAGGGGACTTCAGGGGACGTTGCAGGAGACCTGGGTGCTGGCGGGGAGTGACGTTCTCAGAGAACAGGGTGGGGTCTGGAGCTGTGGGAGAGGCAGAGAAGTGCATGGTGCCCAGGCCCCAGAGCAGGACCCACTGTTGTGTGCTTGGGAAACAGGGCGAGGCTGGGTGGGCGGGGGAGCAGAGAGATGGAATGAAGAGGAGGGCAGAGGGCTGCAGGCGGGCAATGACCAGTGGGGATTTCATTCTGAAATGAAGGGAAGCCTCCAAAGAGTTTATGCAGAGAAATGGCAGGATTGATTTCCATTTACAAAGGACAACCCTGCAGGAGGGGCTACAGGATGGGGGGGGGAGCAGGTGGGGGAGGGGGTGCCCAGGGGCCCAGAGATGCCAGCTGGATGCCCTGAGGGGAAGGGAGTGAGGACAGGGAGCAGTGGCTGGATTTTGGGTGCATCTTTTCAGCATGAACTGGATTTGCTGATGTTGGGGCTGAGAGAGAGAACTCGGGGGTGCCCTCTGAGCCGTTAGGCAGGCCAGATGGACCACTCCAGCCCAGCAGCCCCGAGGCTGCCCTGACTTTCAAGGAAGTTGATGGCTTGGCTCAGAAGTGAGCCTGTGGGGTTCCCGGTCCCCTTGTCCAGATGCACAAAAGCAAGAAGACACACAACACGGCCTTCCCCGTACCAACCGAGGCCTCCCGGCAACCAACATTGTCCCCAGGCCCTGCCCACTAGGCTTTCCTCACAATTGCTCTGGAAACCAAATGTGTGGCCCAACACTCCACGTGCACACACGTGTGTATATATCCGTGTGTGTACGTGCATGTCTGCACAACCCAGCATCCCCAAAAAACAAGGGCTGGAAATGCAAACATCCACAGTGGCCAGGAAAGTCATATAAAGTGACTGGGTGGTAATGGAGAGAGGTGGGGACTGCGGCAGGGAATGAGCTGCCCGGCTCCACACACAGCCACAACATCTTAGTTATGTGGGCACAGGCGTAAGCTATCAGGAGCGCTGCCACTTTTTCAAAAGAAGTCAGAAATTCCAATTTTTAGGTAAAACAGAGAATCTTTAAAATGTGGGCTTCAATTTAAAAAACAGGACCAGTGCTGTATCCATCAGCCAGTTAGCATTCGGGCCAGTGGTGGCTAGTCCGCAACCGAGCCGGGAACGGCTCGGGTGGTGTGGGCCCTCGTCAGGAGACCCGAACTCACGCTGCGGCACCTGCCGGACCCCACATCTGGGGCCCTCCGACCTGCGGCAGGCGTGAGGGTCTCCCCATCGCCTGAGCCCTGCTGGGGTGTCTGGGTGAGCACGTACCCACTTTGAGCTCCTTCCCGAAGACGGTGCGCTCCCCCAGCGCCGAGCAGTTCCAGCGGCCATTGCGGAACTGAAACTGACACTCGTCCAGGCCCATTTGCGAGCCTTCTCCTATGACGATGATGGCGTCGGGCCGGCTCTGGCAGATCGCCCGCTGTCTGGGAGCCAGGCCTGGGATCTTGTTACAGATGATGCTCGCGCCCAGAGCTACCACTGAGGAGAAGCCGCTGTAGCAGGGGACACGGAGAGACGGAGCGTTAGGCTAGCAAGGTGCGGAGCACAGCCTACAGGCCCTCCCTGGGTGACCAGCCTCGCCCCCCTCCACGGCTCCCAGCCGGGGTCTCCCAGCCTTTTTGATCCTGCACCCCAGCCCATGTTCATTCATTGATACTTCCCGTCAGTGCTTGCACAACGTGGATGTTAAACTAGTGAGGACTGATTTCTTTTTTAGACCCAAATAAAGACGACGCGTGTCACAAACATTGTCAAGTGGACTAAGCCAGTTGTCTTTGCATCTCAGGGAGGATTTGAGAGGAAGCTTAGAATCACGCAAAGTGGATTGTTTAGGAATCATCTCTATGGGGTAAAGTTGCAATGCAAGCCAGGGAAGGGTAACCACCAGGTGTCATGCAGCGATGGCCTCTGAAAGTGTGGTGGGTGCACGGATGTTCATTAAAGAAGAAGCCCTGCTCGCACATGTTAAGTGTGTATAATGCATGTGTGTGTATTATCACAAAAACGCTTTAAAAAGCAGTTGCGAACAGAAGATCTAGTGTCTCCTCCCCGCATGCCAGTGCAGTACGTGTGTCCCACTCCGGACACAACTGGCCTAGAGGATGCTTACAACTCCTGCAGTGAGGTTTCCTGTCCTCCGAACCCACTCACTGCACAGATCCAAACAAGACACCTATCAGGGCACCAGGCTCCCAGGCACCATGCCAGGAGATGGGCCAGGCCCTGCCCTGGAGGGGCTACAGCAGAAGATGATGCACGTGTCACAAGTGAACGCAGCAGGCCGTTCAGTGACGTACACTGCAAAGAAAGTCAACAAAGATGCTGGGAGGGCCAGCAGGGGTGGGTCTGGGGGGGAAGGGAGAGGGGCCGCTTTAGCTGGGGTGAGATGGCAGCTGAAACCTGATGGTCCGCAACCAGCCATGGGAAGGTCTGGGGCAGAGTATTCTGGGCAGAGGGAACAGAAGATGCAAAGTCCTGGGAGGGGAACACGTTTGGGACCACCACGGATCAGAAAGAACCACACAGGCTGATCCAGTACCAAGGCTCAGGGAGGGGAGGGTCTGGGAGAGGAGATGGCTCAAGACTAGAATTTTCTAAGAAGCATCAAAAAGCACTGAAGGGCTGTACACAGGTTATGGACAGGATCCCATCCCTCTGGCCCCATGGGGGAGAGGACTGCGGGGCTCCAGACAGGAGCAGGGAGAGGGGGAGGCCAGAGGTGGTGGCCTGGCCTTGGTGGCAGTGGCGGAGGTGGCTGCAGATGCAGCTGACCAAACTTGCTGATGGACAAGGTGGAGCTGAGGGGAGGGGTGGGGAAGGGTACAAGGGACAGAGAGGCATCAGTGTGACTCGTATCTGGCATGAGGAGGGGCGCATTTCCTAGTATCTAGATAACTCCAAACAAGCTCCAACGGTAACCGTGACGATGCAGGTAGCCCTCCCTTTGCACAAAGATGACCCACTCGTCGGGGCTTCCTTTCGGACCATCGTTTAAATGTCATTGAGCACCCTTTGAAAGAGAAGACCTCACTCTGGTTATAACAATAAGAGCTCCCACTCACGCAGGCTGCAGCCATCCGCAGGGCGAGCGAGGTGCCTTGCTTTCCTTCCAGCCCAGGCTCAGCCATGGGAAGTTGTTTTGGAATTCGAGTTTCTTAAAGCGAGGGTCCCCTGGCCAACAGCACAGGAGATGAGGTGACCCCCTCCTCTCCAAGTGCATAACTGGCCACTCCTGCCCTCTCTCCCTCTGCTCCTGCCACACGCCAGCCCTTTTCCTGCCTCGCGTCCTGGATCCTTGCTAGTCCCTCTCCCTGGAAGCTCTGTCACCGCCTGGGCTCACGTGCTTGGCTTCTTGCCATCACCTTTGTAACCTCAAGGGTCACCGCCCTGACCATCCCAGCGAAGGAACCTGCCTCCGCGCCCCATCCCTCCTAACTTTCCATCACAGTCTGTTTTATTTACTTAATACTCTCGATTACTCATGGGCTTCTGAGATGTTTTAATGGACCTGTGTGTTTTTGATCTGTGTGCTCACTGCTGTATCACTCGTTTCTCATCAGCCCATGAGCTCTTTGAGGACAGGGAAGCTGTCTGCTGGTTCGCTAGATGGCTACTGAGTGAACTGGGCACAGAGCTTCAACAACGCCACTCAAGGTGACTGTGCCACGGCAGGTGCCCCCAAATTGCCTTGGATGCACCAGTGGGCACCTGCTGCGTCCTTGTCCTGCGCCAAGGTGGTGTGCCAGGCGCCGCCACAAGCGCCAGCCACGCGGCCTCTCTCAACAGCCACCTTGGGCAGGAGTTGCCATGTCCACTGCGCCTGTCCACGCCACAGGACTAGAAAGCAGGGCCCACAGAGGCTGAGATCTGGAGGCTACTGGGGCAAGGATCTGGGACGGGAGCCTGGCGAGAGCTCTCAGTCATTATCTCAGCCACTAAAATAGAGTCTAACGCAGAGCTAAACTCTTTGGAAGGTCTGAGGAAGAGGCAGCATAGAATGATTAAGTCAAATGGAGATGTTCTGGCCACAAGTCAGGAGGAACCTCTGAACACCGAGCCGGCCACCAGGAACTCCCTCCAGCAGCAGGCCGTAAGGACCTGTTAGGGTCGGGAGCGCACAGCAACCACAGGCTGGCAGCCAAGCGTCCAGGCCCGGGGTGCCATCCAGATTTTCTTCCCCTAGAACCTGTGTGACCCTGGGCAAGTCACACCCCCTCTCTGTGCTTCAGTGTTCCCGTCACTAAAAGGAAGATGCTACTTAGATCTCACTTCCTAGGGCTGTTGAAAAATTAAATGGGTTAAAACACAGGAAGAGTTCAGAAAGTGACAGTAACTACTCAAGAAACAAGCTGCTGTAACAGCTACTATTACTGGATCTGATTGTTACGAGAGGCTGGTGCTCCTCACCTGAACTACCTAAATAAAATAAAAATAACCCCCGAAGCCCTGCCATCAGTAGGGGGAACCGGAAGGCCTCTCCAGAACCATGGGACTTTACCTCTCACGCCCATTTTA